CTACTGCACCTGGTATTCACTGGCAGTCTCCCATTCAAGCACTAACCAGGATTGCCTGGCTTAGCTTACAAGATCAGACTGTATCTGATTCCTTTAGGGTTTTCATTTGATAGCTTTTACCTGATTACCTTGAATATCTGAAGATAATTTGTTTCATTAAAATCAAGTAGTGCCTGATGCAAATCACAGTCTTTCTACATTGTTTTTATGTTCATGTCTGCTGCCATAATTTCTTCACATGGCAAGTTCTCCAACTTTCTTGTGACTGAAGGCTGCTCTTTAATGGCAAACAAGCTATCCAACATCTGGTCTGGATTCAAGGATTTACAACAGTGGTAAAACCCATTAGAGGTTGTACTCCACTGATATAGTTTTCAAGAGCCCAAGGTCACCACCTGGCACTTTGGTTGTAACTATCATCAATGTTTCAACAGGAAGAGAATAAAAACGGGGAATTTAGGTTACAAAACTGGATGGTCACCAATTTAAAATGGCCTGCATGGAAATCATGCAGTCCTCCAGATTATGTTGCAAATCCACATCCAGCAGAACTAGCCAGCATAGGCAATTGTGAAAACTGCTGAGAAATGTAGTTTAATTAACATCTGGTGGATTGCATAATTCCCACCTCTACTTTAAAGACAATATAGGAAATTATACTGACTATTCTCTTTCATACTTCACAATTATTGATAGTGCTTTAATGACTGTGCTGCATTCTGAAATTTGAAGTTTAACCTCTCGAAATAGCAAATCCTGGGATTCCATGGAATGTAGCATGACAGTTAAAGTAATATCAAAGTGACATAATTATGTTGTGCAAAACAAACCTATGGCAATCTGTTGGAACCTTATTAAATTTAATGGCAATGAAAGGTTGAATTTGACTGTTGTTCACAGCACTTTAGAGCCAGCCCAGATGTTCAGCAGGCTGTGTTTATATATTCATGCAGTGTGGATACACACACATCATATACTTATTTGAAATGCAGTATTTTTTGTTATTTTCTAATACTGGAGACTCACTGGATGATCTTGCACAAGTCACATTCTCTCAGACTCTGAGGAAGGTAAGGGCAAATCCCCTCTGAACAAGACTTGGTAAGAAAACGTCTGTCATAGGTCTGTCTTAAGGTCCTCATATGTTGGAAATAATTTGAAGAGAGCAATAAACATGAAAGTCCCCTAATTCCCACTTTTTGAGCAGCAGCTGCTGTTACTGATGGGAGTTTGTTCCCCATCAGTTGGGAAGCATCTGCCTGATGTTCAACTCTCTTTGCTCAAGAGATATCTAGCATGAAGGGGAATTGTGCCATAGACTATGATTTTGTCAGTCATGCTTGTAATCATTCATGGAAGGAAGTGGAAATGGCAGCTAGCTGCTTCCTGATTGATGGAAGAAGAGACTCCCATTGGTTATAGTGGCTGTTTCTCAGTAAGTGGGCAAAGCGGGCAAGTGTTAGACCAGGGCTCATTGCATACAGTAAAGGCCATACAGGATTCTGACCTAAGTTTTTAGGATCCCCTTTTGTGTGTGATGGGGAAAGAGCTATCATGAAGAGAGGATGTAAAAAAGAGAAGAGCAAAGCTGGCAAGAATTTTGTCCATGAGTTTTATTGCATGCCTTCAAGACCTGGTATGATTTCTGCTTTGACTGTCCCGCACGTTGCTGTTCTGATGCTTAGTCCCAGAAAGTCATATATGCTCCATGATCATTTCCCAGAACAATTGTTTTTAAGCTAATACAGGGATCACATGTTGTGCTGACCCTCAGTTTTCCAAGTACTGTAATATCCCTGACACTGGACTTATGTACTCCAATGTGGTGCTCAGAAACCTGCTTTGCTTTGTGATCAGTGGTTCACCCAAGTGCCAAATTGTGTGTTTTATGTTTTTCTGCCTACCTTGTAGATGTCAGTTCTGATCAACTTGCCCACTTTGTGTACCCTAGAGATTCAATGAGTTTGTAGCTTCAAAATGTTAATAACTCTGACATTTCTTTATTGTTGTCATAACCCTTTCCCGTCTATTCCCACAGCAGTTTCTAAGCATTTCATTGTTAACCTGCACATATTTGGGGCCAAGTCACAATTTCAGAAAAAGCAAGTGGAGAGATACTACTGAAACTGCTCCTTTTTTGCATGCAGGTGGAAGCTGCTCATAACTTAGCAGCCTCTGCCTATCCCTATTAAAAAGAAAAACAAAATGTCCTGCCTGTAAATAACTAGTATGACCAATGTAAGGGATTTTTTTTTTTGCAGTGTTCAGGATGGTTTTCTAAAATCACACTCAAAGATTATCACAGAAGCTCAACATTCTAGATGATTTTGTACCTCAGATGTGGCTTTGGTGCGTGCTTACATACAAATGTCCACTTACGAATGTAGTGGGGTGTGGTAACTGAATGCTGTAGCTTCTGTGAACAATATCCTAGAACTGGTAAAACTGACACAGGGGAAACTTTTCAATTCTACTTCGCAGGGCAGTTGAGAGACTGTTCATCACTAATCTCACATGCACACAGGTTGCAAGATGATCAATACAGGAATTAGATGTTTGGAAACTGGGGTACATGCACACTTCTTAATTTGGTTAGACTTTGGGTACTCTTTTGAGCTTCATGGCTAGTATGAGACGAAGGGGGCTTCTATCTGAATTGGCTCTGGTTCAGTTTGGGAAGGATAATCTAGAGTTTATAAAACTATTTTTAGAAAGAGTATATTAAGCGATTGCTCATTATATTTTTAAGCATAACCATAATCATTACTTGCTATTTTAATATCCAAACCTTATTAGTACTTTCAGCTACAACAGACCAACAAAACCTATAGGATTTACATGTTGACTCATCTTCAACAGTTAAATCACTAGATATAATATAGTTGGGAAAAGCTAAATAACATGATTCAGATCTAACTGGAATGTAGACTAATGCAATATCCATGTGCTTTCATTGTCATTATGAAGTACCCTTTAGAAAATAGCAATGGCCTCAGATCCATGTAGCTGTCTCCTATGAACTGACATTTTAGAAGTAATAATAGACAGTGTACATTTTAGTAAATATAACATGGTATTGCTATTTATCACAATAATTTTTTGGACATAGTCCCCCCAAAGCAGTGTGTTACAAAATATATTGATTCTTGTAGTGTGTTACTTCACAGCTCAGGCTCAGATGCTGTAGTCTGCTGCCCAATATGATGGCTGTTCCCTATGTTAACTTACAAGAGTATTGTTGGCTATCTTTTTCAGTCTTCACAAAGTGATTTCACAGTTGAGCTCCTGAAACAGACTAGAGACTAGTAATGGAACTGATGGTAGAAAACAAATGGAAGCTTAATTTGGGAAAGACAAATGTGCTTCTGTTTAGTAAAGGTGCTATTTTGGGAGCTGGAGTTGGGCCAGACATCCATTCATGTGAGATGAATGGAAGAGTCCAGTCAGCCTTCCATAGTCGCTGGAGTCAGATGTGCAGGGCTACTGTAAAAGTGGGAAAACTGTGAATAAAAAACATCATTTAATTGAGAGAACACTTTTCTAGGAATCTCTTTTGCCATGTCAAGTCTTCCATCACAATTTGATGGCGAACTTCTTCAAGATATTATACTGGCTGACATAGACATTCCTAGAGAACATTTCAATTGAATCCACAAAGGCAAACCTGCAAATGGAATGGCCTTCCAAGGCTTTGCTTGTGGGTGCATTGGTGCTGGTTATGACCAGGAGTACCTTTATGCAGCATGGACTGGTGACTCCATTGTTTCTATTGCTGGAGAAAGGAGATCTGGCAACACTGACTTGTGCTATAATTTGAGGCTAGATGCCAGCTATGTGCTCTATCTGGGTCTGCCTTGGGTAGGGTTCAGAGATGTGTCCAGAATGAAACACTTTGAATGTTGACTCAATCAACCCTTTAGCAAAAATTCTATGAAACTGCTTCAGATCTCAACTCATTTTTTAAAAAAACCACCTCTCTAAATTTCTTATTGACTTGAAATCTATATATTTAAAAGTTCAACATCTCACATATAAGCCTGTGCATTTACGAGTATATATGAGGAGTTTTAAATTATAACATCTTTAAGACATGCCTGTGACAACACTAAGAAATGTGGAACTCCTTCCTTTGAGGGGTGCATCTTGCAGGTTTCCTGACAACTAATGAAGACTTTAAAATGTGTCTGAAATTTGGCTTACTGCTTGTTTTAATGTTCAATGGCAATTTCAGAATTTTAAGCTCTGCCATTATTTTCTTTGAATGCTGTTTTCAAACAGATTGTTGATTGACTCTTTAATGCGGTAATGTACTTTTAGTGTTTTTATTATGAAAAGGTGAGGTTTAGATTCAGTAGAGCAAGAGATGCAATAGACAGAATGATTCACTGAATCCCAAGGAAAATTCAAAACTATGTACTTTGGCGATGTCTACAAACATGTAAACATTTTCCCTGGACAATAGCAGAAGACACAAGAGAAAGTCATGAAGGATTACAAGATATACTTGGTTGCTTTTGAATGAACAATGGATTGAATCTTTCATCCCACTAAAGATTATGTGCTTGGTTGGACACAGATTTTTACTATCAGGTGCCAAGAGATGGAAAATGATTGTGCTGGAATACATAAAGCAAAATCTCCCAAATGCTTTTCCACTGTGGAAAATCATCAAGCAAAAATCAAAAAGATGGAAGAATGTCTACCTTTACATTTCTGATTTATAATAAAAAGGCAATTTCACCACTGTTTTTCTAAGGAGAAAAAAGAGGGGGAGAAACCATTTCAAAATGATGCCTCTAAAACACACACGCTCTCAGAGAAAATGCAAATAGAAATGTATCACTTTTGGATTTGATATTCAGTTAATTTACTGTCTTAGTTAACTACTTCATGGTGTAATAAAGACCATAGCCTATTATCGCAAGTTGAAGATCGATATAAGCAATTTAATTTTGAGATGGTATATATGTCAATAGATTCATATGATCCTTCTTTTGCAGGTCACTATTCTCATCAGTTTGGCTCTTGCATTCCTCGCCTGCATAGTGTTCCTTGTGGTATACAAAGCTTTTACCTATGACCACAGTTGCCCAGATGGATTTGTTTATAAGGTAAGAAGTCTGAGATTGATAGATTGGCTTTGCTAATAATAGAAATTAATTGACTGCATGGCCGCAATTTAGAACTGTATTTTCCATCATGATTAAAGACAATCATGCTGAAAAGTGGTTTGAACTCAAGGAAATAAGGCTTTGATAGCCATAGTTGTTTTGAACTTGACAGGTATCATGGAGTCTTCCTGAACTTGAAAGGTATCATGGAGTCTCCATGGAGTCTTCATAATTCTGAACAAATTCACAGTAACTGACATTTTGAGTCAGCCTAATGTTATCACAGAAAATTGTGGATCCAGATATTTGTGTAGAGAATCCAGATTTGTGTGGATCCAGATATTTATGTAAAATTCTTCCGATGAGTCTGCACAGAAAAATAATTTGTGTCTCTAAAGAAGAAATTAAAGTATGCTTTTATTCAGGTTATATATTTGTTTCAATGGCTGACAATATATTTCGAAAAAGGCATGGTTGTGATTTTAATTCATTTTCATAAAATGTAGATGACAGTGGCTGGATTTACACTGTCGTATAGATCTATACTGACTATGTAATGCAGATTCAAACTGCATTATATCACAGTGTAGATCCAGCCTGAATAGACAACACCATTTGTTAGATCAGTTTGTGAATAAAAATCTTCTAGAAGGGGTAAGTAGCTATAGGAAGTGATACTAAAGGAAGATTAAGTGTGCACAAGTATATGCACACAGGGAGGTATCATCCATCGAGATGCATGGTTGGATGCACATTTAACCCACCCTATTATAGGGGTAAGCAAAGTGCAGCCTGCAGACCACGTGAGAGCTCCCCCCAACCCTCCACACCTGTGTGAAGAAAGCTTCAATGCCCTCTGGGAGACTTGGGGACATTTTTATCATGTTTAGTGTCCTCTTTTGGGTTCAAGGAAGGATTTATTTATTCTGGTCACTTGTTTTTTAACAAGTCCTCTCCTGCACTGGGAATGCCCCATGGAGGCTAAAACATGGCAAGAATGCCATTGTTTCTAGAGGGCTCTGTGGAGGCATTTGAAGGACAATTTTCTTTTAGTTTTACGGTGCAGTTCTCCTGGTGGCTCATGCGGTCCCTCAGTCTTCCACAATTGCCCATCTCTGTCCTAACAAAACACTCTATCCATTGCACCCTATTATAAAGAATGATGAGTAGAAAACAGCAGATTCCAGTGTTTGTCCATTCAAAAACCCCACTAATTTACTTCCAGTTAAGTATTTTTTGCAGCTGAAATGTTCAAAGATCCATCACATGAAAATAAGATAGAATCATAGATCCATGGTGCTAGAAATATCCAAAGGGCCATCTAGTTAAAACCGTCAGTGCTGGAATCTTCTTCTAAAATATTCCCGGAAAAGGGATCCTCCAACCTATATTGAAAAACAGAGTCCACCAGCTTCTGAGGCCTTCTATTCTACTCCCAGGCAAATGTCAGGAAGTTCTTATTAATGTTTTGTTGGAACCTCTTTTCTTGCAATTTGAATCCATCTTCTTTCCTCTAGAGTACAGTATCCAACTTTCTCAATTGTTCCACATAATGTCTACTTTCTGAACCTTTTTTTTATCATCTTGGTTAACACCTTGATTGTGCTTGCTTGTATGCTTGTTTTTGGTTTCTAAAAACTGGTTATACTTGATTGTCGCTCACAGAGATCCATTTTGTTGTTGTTCTTATTTTCCTTTTCTTTAGCATAAGCGATGCATCCCAGCCTCCCTGGATGCTTACTATTCAGCTCAGGATTCCAACTCCAGGGGCAGATTCTACACTGTCATCAGCCATTACAGCATGGCCAAACAAACCAGCTCGCGGTCTGTATCTCCCTGGCTTTCCTCAGGATCGGTAAACCATGAGCCCAAGGCTACCAAGACAGAAGCCCATTAAAGCCATTTGGTGGCCTTGGGGATGGCGGGGAATGGGAAAGACAACATGCTGTCTTTGTCGCATTGCCGTGGTTTGAAGAAGGCACCCGTGCTTTCAGTGCAACAAGAATAAACTTAACTCCAAGTGCAGGTGTCATCTTAATGGATATTTCTCCTTTTCTCTCTCTCACTCACTCTCGCTCTCTTTCTCTCCCTCCTTTTCTCTTTTCCTCTTACTCTTCCCCTTCCCCTTTTGGTGCATTGTTCTCGTTAATTTGTAACTAAGTCAAGATCTTGTACAAAGGCATGTTAGGTGTTCATTATATCTTACAATGTACAAATATTTTTAAAACCATTGCTTAATATTTGTTAAGAAAATAAAAACAAAAAACACCAAAAAAAGTCAATCTAGAGAACATTCACAAGGAAGGAGAAGAAATGGCAAACAGAATTCCACCGGACCTACTTGGCCGAGAAGATGGAGCCCCAGAATGTATATTGATGGTGTTGGTGGGGGATACCATGGCATTTGTTTCTTGGAATATAGGGTGAAAAAGAAACTTAGTCCACATTGGGAGGGATACTTTTTAATAGACATTTATTTCACCCAGATATAGTACACAATGGGCTGGACAAATGCCCACAATGCACTTTGCCCGGTCCAGTGTTTCATTGTTACTCAGAAACATGTGATGCTGTCCCTTGCATTAAAATAAGTGGGAAAGCCCTTGTAAACAAGGGAGTTCATATCTACAGTGGAGCATTCTGCACTGAACCACTGAACCATGGTTACTATTCTGTGGTTGCTTGCTTGTTTTTACTGAGAGAAATTGCCATGGATACACACAAGTTGGGATTTTTGACTGCCAACTGAATTTTAGATACATGTTCTCTACTCCCAAAGGTGAGTGGCAAATCCCAGAAAGGGCATTCCAAGGTTTAACTAATTGAATGAAGAATTCTGAAAAATTACTTTTTTGGACTATAAAATAATACCATCACTCTCAGAAATACTGGTTATACTAGATGAGAAATTCTAAGAGATACTGTCTAAAATTTAATTTTTCTAAACTGTTTCAAAGTGACAATTCTTTAACTTATTAAAGCACACTTAAGATTAGATGGAGCAAGAGCTGGGGGAGACATATCTCTATTAACTGCCACCTTCTGCTCCATTGTGGGCAATATTATGAAGAGACTTTAGCCCAGAAACCAGCATATTCTTAGTAGCTTACAATGAAGAGTCACTGAACATAATCCAATAGTGTATCCCTAGAATATTTGGATGTACAGCTGGAATATGTTGTTCCCTCTTCTATAGGCCCTCACCCATGGAAACTCCCCATTACTTTATAGTAACTTTGAAGGTGGTATGTAGTTTAATATGGAGCTGCTGTGGAATTAAAAAAAGCAGAAACCTTCATGTGTATTTGTATGCAGCCATGTATATACATGTGATATTTATCATGCTGGATCACAGATTCCTTGGATGATTTCGGCAGCTTTTCCCCTACCACTGTAAGTTACAAAACCAAATCCTCAATACGTCCTGTCACCATGATGGTGTGAATGATATATAGGAACATTTGTCCTTTGCCATTTGCCCTCCCACAGAAACATTCTATGTGTAAGAAGAAATCAAGTATACACACTGCTTTGTGAAAGATGGAGCAAATTTTTATTTTGCAATGACAGCTTGATCTAGGAAGATGTCGTGTAGGAGGTTCGAGTCTATAAACAATTCTTACAGCTCCTATTACAGCTCCTAGAAACCCCAGTCAGCATGGCTGATGAACATGACAACTGAGAGATTCTGGGATTGTTTGTCCAGGCTAGTAATGTGTATTCAGCAGAGAGAGCTCTTTTCCATCTAGAATGAAAAACTTTATTGGGATGATTCAAATCACCCATATATTTCTGATCAGCAATACATACACATGTATATGTGTGCCTGCATACCCATTGTTGACTGGGGAGGTGTTGTGTGTCTTTAAAACTTCTTCCTTTTGCAAGGTTGATTAGTTGCAGTTTCACCTTCAATTTCACAAAGAACCAAGGGCACCATCTCCCAAGCATGGTTTGTTAGAAATAACATTTGTGTTAATAGATTTTGCTTAGGAGTGGTCAGGCAGAACAGTACTCAGCGAATTATGCCTCCATTAAGCAAATTAAATTAAATTTGAATACAAAGAAGAACTGGATGAAAGCCAATCAAAGTGTTACTGAATGTAAGTCACATAGACTCTAAAACTGGGCATCTGATTTATGTCAAGCATTTATATTTTGTTTGCCAAAAGAAGAGACAACTCATTTTGTAGAAGTTGAAGGTCAAAGGGATTAATGATAAATGGTTGTATTATGTAGCCAAACTGTAGTGCCAAATCTCATTGTCTAACTCTTTTCCCCTTTCTCTTCCCCCATTCTTCTTCATACTTCACCTGTAAATCCATTTCTCACCTGAAATGTACAAATACATTGGAAAAGAAAACAATGCCCAGAACAATAACTGGACAATTTATAATTTTGTGGTGTATTGTATGTCAGTAGGTAGAAGAGACTGAAGTATTTTTGGTGTAGTTCTTGACCTTTTCTGACAGGACAAATAAAGCTAGATGTGTCTGAGCGTCTCAGCCATTGTGGGTCATGTTGTTTTCTTTGGTTCTTTCAAAAAAGGGAACACAAGGAAGGAATTGACATATCTGGAATAACAAAGTACTGATTTTTCATATTTGCATCACTTTAGGCAGAAGATTTTACTTGCAGACCTGTATTTTGAACAAATGTTCAGAAAACAAACCTAGATTGACATTCTGTAATGTATTTTTAGATGTTGTGGATGGTGTTATTCTCTTGCACACTGCATAATGACAAACACTCTCCTCCCTAGTATTCCTGGTTTTGATTGATGGAGAGCACGAAGTGGGGTGGAGGATCATAAAAGCTTCTGGATAACCAGACAGAGCCTAACAACATCATCCACCAAGATCCTGGCATACTTTGGCAGAAGATACCATTAGTCTGTTTTCTGGCCATGGGACAAAACAAGACATTTTTTTCTGATTTTTCCTTTGCACGTCATTCACCATTAGACATAGAATAACCACCCAGGGATGCTATCACAACAAAATTATGAATTCTGAAGTGGGGAGCAGTTGTAGAGGTCCCTCTGTAGAACTTTTATGTTCTGGAAAACGTAGGATCGTGGACAGAGTAAGCTACCTTCACCTATGGCTTAGAGTACAAGCTTTTTGGTCTTTTCTGGTTAAGCATAACTTTTGTTGGTTTGAGACTCCATAAAAACCTCTCTTATTAAATTGTGATTTAATTAAAATAAATTCTGAGGAACCCATATTATTTCTAGCATATGCCATCGTCAACACAGTTTATAAAAGGACTTTTACATTCTGCTCTGTTGATCACTTTATGCTGGTTGAACACATAGTCTGAACACAATCTATCTGCATAAAAACTAGACATGCTCTAAGAAAGGATATTATTGCAGCCTGCTCTTTGTTTCCCAACGACAAAGTACAGGCAGTCCTCAGATTATGAACAAGATAGGTTCTGTAGGTTTGTTCTTAATTTGAATTTGTATGTATATTGGAACAGATACATTTATTATGTGTAACTCCAGATTTTTTTTCATGTGTGTGTGTGTGTGTGTGTTTTGAATAGCATAGGGAAGAATTAACACCCTTGTGGTGTTTCTTTTGCTGTCTGTGCCCCAATTCAAAAGATTTCATCTCACTTTCTGTCCCTGTGATAATTGGATTTTGAAAAAAAATTGGCTTGTTCTGGAAACAAGGATTGGTGATAAAGCTTCAGTGGAGACATCTTTCCCTCATGATAACTCTTGCAGGAATGAATTTCTCTTCCGAGGGGTAGATTTCTCTCACTTCTTGTTGTATCACCTCTGTTCTTAGTTATGAGTCATTTGTAAGTCGGATGTTTGTAACTCGGGGACTGCCTGTACTTGCTTCTGATGACTAAGGATTAAGAGAGAATTAGTCTGTGGGTGGAAAGGAATGTAATGTTTATTAGAGAAACAGAAGTGTTACTGATGACTTTAAATGCTAAGGTTGTCATCTTGTAAGTGTGTTATGTTAGCACAAGTCCATCCTACGCAATTATAACCCATTGTTTCAGTTGTTGCAAAGTTTTGCGTTATTTACTGGCAGTGCAGTTTACAAACTTTTACCCCGTACCTTAAGCCCACCTTTTAAGTCATGTATTCACTCCAAGGTGGTTGTCAGAGAACAGAATCAGAAGAGATGTAGCCACTAGCCAGATACTTTCCCATTGTTGGGCATGGTGCGAGGATGTCATCTACAAGGAGCTCTTGAGGAACCCTGAAGATGCAATTGGATGTACAGCCTACTGCAGTACAACCCAGCTGCATGAAAATGGCATGGAAACTGCTGCTTAAAAAATTTCAGCATTCCCACCAGCATTTCACAGATGAAAAACATGATGTGTAGCTGAGCAACATCAGAGTGTGGTCAAAAGGCTGTGTTTGGCAACATTAGGGCAAAAGTTGTTAATGAGCAAGAACACATAAAGGTACAATTTAGACAGAGAAACCCTGGAATTTCAGAGAGCCTGGGGGGAAATAAAGGGCGGGGGGGAGAATCCAAATTCAAGAAATCTAACACTCTATATGAGTGCATGAGTATCCACAGAATGGACAGTAAATATAATATATTTCACATTATTCTAAAGTCACAATAATTTTATCAGACCTGTTCAGAAACATGCTCTCTGATCTACTGTATGAACTCTATTACGATACTCACTTCATCTGCTCAATGCACATTGTAGAACTGTTCAAACCCTCACTTTCCAATAACATAACACTTAACAATTGTATGCTCTCGAACTAGTCTACACCACAGAGTTGCTCTTAGAACAAAAATGGGATGGAGCAGGGGGGAGGAACCTATAATACATTCTGTGAGCCATTGTTAATGTGAACAGAACAGTGCATGAAAAAGAAAACACTGTCCCCCCAAAAAGCAGACAATAAAATCTTTCCAAATGTTTAATGTCTTCAAGTTGCAGTTTCTTTTCTGTGGCACAGTGCAGCCTGGCACATACAGGGAATTAGTACATCAAAAAGAAGGGAAAGAGAGAGAAGAAAACCAGCAATTACAAAGTCTATAATAGAAGGTCCATACAAAAACAAGCAAAAATCTGAAGTGAATGAGAGAAAAAATGGAATAGAATTGTTTATCTGCAATTTTGGCTGTATTTTATTAAAATAAGAGCTGCTGGGTGAATCTGTTACCTATGAGAAAAAGAGATGGGAGAAAGGACCTGGTGCATAATTCAGTGGATGCTATACTTGAAAGTGGATCTCATTTAGGGAAGCTCCTTTTAACTGGAAGGAGTCTTTCCTGCACCTGCTTTTGACATGGTATATTTATTTCTCTTGCTTACCTCAAGGAGCAATTTGGAGTCACATAGAACAAACTGTTCTGTTCAAAAGCTAGGAAATTGCTTTTGCTTGAATTGGCTGGAAAGAGCAAAACTTTGCCTTCTCCTCTCCTCTATGCTGAGTAATGACAAGCAAAAGCCTAGATCTCAAGCCCTTCTTCTGCCTATATGGGTACATTAGCAAGGGAGAAAAGAATTGCCATTACTTCCATAATCTCAAAAGTGAATATGGTAATATGGGAGGAGAACTTGACAAGGCATTGTAGGCAGACATCATAATCCTGCCACAACTTCTGCTCTTTTCCAGGATATTAATAGGAATGGACAACTGAATTAGAAGTTTATATTGATATTAAAATCTGAGGAGTAGCTATCTTGTTTCCCTGAAAATAAGACATACCCATAAAATAAGCCATAGCAGGATTTCTAAGCATTTGCACAATATAAGCCATACTCCGAAAATAAGACATAGTGATAGGCATGGCTATGCAATGTACAAGGTCGGCTCCCCGTCAGGTCTCGGTCATTCTGTGCATGCTGCAAGCTGAGGCATAGAGGGAGACATAGAAAGTGAAAATAAAAGACTCCTCAATGAAGTGAAGAGCAGGACACTGTGCTTTAGGTATTGTCCTCAGGGAGAAGTAAAGCTGTGGCTGCAGTTTGACTCAGCACTGTGGGTCTCTCTCCCCCAGCACCAACCAGCAACAAACACCAGTAATGCTCCTGGACCCCAGCACTGACCAGCAATGGTTTGTGGGTATCTCTCACCCGACAAACACCAGTAAAGCTGCTGAACCCTAGCACCAACAACAGTCTGTGGGTCTCTCTCACCCCATACAAACACCAGAGGATAGGGGAAAAGATTCAGCGAGCAGTCTGCTAATGAGCCCAGAGAGATCATCCCAAAATGCAGATTGTTGTACCATACTTAATAAAAATAAGACATCCCCTGAAAATAAGCCATGGTATGCCTTCTGGGGGAAAAAAATAAATAGACTGTTTTATTGGGGGGCGGGGGGAGGAATGGTATGTGGCCACTAATTTGCTGTCTCAGATAAGTATATTCTTTCCAAAATGATTGACCTACATAAACAATATAAGTTAGGCTTTAGTATTAAACACAATTGCATTCTTATTGAGGGCAATACTGCCTATGGGTGACATTTATTTTGAGTATAATGGGCAAAGTGCAAAGGTGGCAAAAATACCCCTCCCCCAGCTCCTAGAAGGCGGTGGAGGATGTTTAAGAAAAAAAGAATGGGGATTATTTTTTTTTGCAGGTGAGGGTGTGATGTTAAGGCGTAATCCCTCAAGGTTTGCTAAGGGATTATTGCTGATCCCTATCTTCCCAAAGTTGTACACCCCACCTCTAGAACCAGGATCTTTTTGGAGTGTTATGTTTTGTTTCACTTGTGGTTATACTGTTTAGACATTTGTGTAAAGTGGCATTTAGTACCTTCTTATGTAGATAGATGCTCATTTGCCTGGAGAACAACCTTTTGAAGTCATTGTTGGCTGCCCACCCAGCCTCACATGACAATTGGAATGATCACTGGAACTTCCCCGGAACAGCAACCTCGCCATTATCCACAGGAGTACACTATGTTCAATCAACACCAAACAGGATGTAGACATAGTAGTTTAGCAGAAATAACTGGGCAGATGGCTGTGATTTTGGGGTACCCTCTTCAAATGGAAGAACTCTTCTTTAAAACAAAACCTCAACATGAAGATAAAGTAAAGGTAAAGGTAACCCTGACATTAAGTCTAGTCATGTCTGACTCTGCGGGATGGTGCTCGTCTCCATTTCTAAGCCAAAGAGCTGGTGTTGTCTGTAGACACCTCCAAGATCATGTGGCCAGCATGACTTCATGGAACATCGTTACCTTCCCACGGAAGCGATATTTATTGATCTCACATCTGAATGTTTTCAAACTGTTAGGTTGGCAGAAGCTGGGTCTAACAGCAGGAGTTACGCCATTCCCTGGATTTGAACCACCAACTTTTTGTCAGCAAGTTTGGCAACTCAGCGGTTTGCCAGCTCAGCAGTTTAATCATGTGTAATGATTTTAAACTTTGATTTTCTTCTGCCCTATTAACCCTTGGGAATCCATTTTCCATCAGCCCCCAAAGGGTGCGTGTGTGGCCACTCCAAACCAAGGGCCCCCAAATTTCCAATGGTGAGATTACCTAGGCAGCAT